ATGACTGACGACAACGAGGATGATGATATGTACGGTTCTTCTTCACCCGACACTTGGAGCCCAGCATTTGACCCTGAAACCATGATCAAGCGCTTTGGACCTCATGTGTACGAGCTATACTCCGTGCTGATTCACTCTGGCAGCGCGCTGGGTGGGCACTATTATGCGTACATAAAGTCTTTAGAGACGGGCAAGTGGTACAACTTCAATGATGCTAATGTCAGCGAAATTTCTGACGCGGAGCTAAAAACGGCATTCGGGGGTGCCACTGGTACCGGTTATAGCGCGCGCTACAGTACTTGCGCGTACATGCTTCTGTACCGCCTGGTTTCTGCTGAAAAGAATGTCCGCGTGATTCCACCGGACAACATTCCTCAGTTTCTGAAAGATAGAATCCGCGCTGATGAAGACAGGATTCGAAGACTCGAGCAAGAGCGGCTAGAAATGTCGAAGAAAATGCTGGTGAAGCTCTATATGAAGGGTTCCAAGCCCAAAAACATCGAAAAGGCAATCTACCTGTACAAGAGTCTGACAATTCGCGAAGCCCTGGAAATAGCTCGTGAAGAATTTGCGGAAGATGACAATGTCATAGTTCCATCGACAAGGAACGTAAGGTTACGGGGATACAACGACTATAACTGTTTGCTGTCCGACACGTATAGCGGCAGAGAGGACATGACGTTGTCGTCGCTAGGATTCTACGCAGGCCAACAGATGTTCCTCGAAGTCAAGAGCGATATTGAGGAGTGGGAAGAGCATGACCCGACGAAATTACAGCTGTTTATTCGTCGCTTCATTGATGAAGAGTCTGGCACCGTTAGCAAGCCACCCCCTGACTCGCTCATGGTAAGGTGTGTTCAAGTGAAGGACGATGCAGACATTGCATCTCTTTGCGCTTTGATCGCAAACAAGTTTTCCGTCCCAGCAAATCACAAAATCCGCCTCATTAAAAAGAGTGCAACCACGTACAGTATAGCTGCGGCCAAGGTTCTCAATGCAGACGACGAAAAGCGCACATTGAATCTACGTCTTAAGATGGATTTACACTTGGTAAATGGGACGGAACTGTATTTCGAGGAGACGCCAGAATTATCGATGGCATCACCAGCCGAGGCATTTTTTGAGCGCGAAGCTAACATGATCACCGTCAACTTCAAGTACTTGGCGAGACCAGCGCAGCCAATTCGCATCGATAGGCGCAGCACGATCCGAGCGTTGAAGGAGAGCATTAGTCGTGAGATCGGGCTACCATCGGATGCATTCAAGCTTTTACGTGGTATCAACAGTGCCGGCGTTGAAATCAAGGCGATTGATAGCACTCTGTCGAAACTATCAATCGGCTCGAATCACACGGTCTTTGCTCTGGAAGGTACTCCGTTGAACACAGGAGAGTACAACTTCAGGTTGATATTTCATAACCCGGTACATGCAGACAGGACTTTTACAGAGAGCAACGGTATCCGCAGCCAGGAACAATTCACTGAAACACGTCCATCAGTAGATTGCAGCAACAGCGAGGGCTTGTTTAACATTGATGAAGTGTTGGTAGTGACGGCGAAGGATGACTCGGTGTTGACTTTTGTGAACCATATTGTCATTTGTGAGGAGATGCCGATCGAAGACATTCGAAAAAAAGTGTGGGATGAGTTGGTTGGGAAGGGCTTCGTGAATGCGGACGACGAACATTTGACTCCATCTCACATCCGTCTTCGTGACTTGCGTCAGAACACAATGACAAACATTTTGGTGGATGGACAAAAGCTTGTGGAGGCATCTAAATTGGCAGTATATGAAGGACGAAGCATTGTAGCAGAAATCTTGACGGAACCAGAAACTCGAGAGGTCAATCACCGGGTCGTTGAATTCGCTTATGTCGATCGCGCGACATGGCGCTTTGTCGATAAATTGCGATCCGAGGTGGTCATTTCTACCTTTGAGGAGGTGGACCACCCTGAGACATATTTAGCAGAAGCCGCGAGCATTGCATTGTCAATACCAGCAGAGCGACTACGATTCGCACGTATCCCGTATCATCGTGACTCGGTCGACATCATCGAAGTGGTTACATACAACTACTTGCCCGCAGCTTCCTTTGCGCGTACGGTGAACGAATATCAGGAACTCTTTCTCGTGATTGACATCGACGTGAAAATGACGTACATGGGCAGCCACGAGCGCCAGCTCATCCACCGTTTCTTGACCAAGAGAAGCGAAGAAAAGACACAAGCACTATGCGCAAAGTACCCATCCAGTGGCAACAGCACATACCAGTATCAGAAACCCAAAGAAGCTGCGCTGGTCATCCGCACTCGATCCCGGACGAGCGAGCATAAAGACACTGGCAGCGTTGGAAGCAGTAACGGCAAAACCTCGAATGGAGTCAGTATCCGCACACCAACTCATCGTGCTGGAAAGACTGCATCGCGTAATCATGCCTCATCAGACACTGACGATGAGGATGACACCGACTTCATAGCGGAAAAGACGGAAGCCTTGGATGTGGATCTCTTTGGAGGCCTTTCATAAAGTCGGCGTTATGGTGTGAAGACCATTTGTCATGAACAAGTGGCGGATATGAACTTCTTTCAGCACGACAAACTATGATATGCGCTAAATGCAGGTGTGAATGCCGTGAGTACGATAAATGAAGTAAACACTGTCGTGGCAAGCGATAACGCGAGTCCGTGCGTGCAAACGATACCGCAGCTTCATATTTCAGTACTTCGTTAGACCGCCCAAACGTACAGCGTCTCAACCACAATTTAGCTACTTACAGATGCCAAGCATTCCTTGCAGCACCAGCTTCCAGCAGCTCGTCAATTTTGTCCATCACGGTCAACGCTTTCGGGTCGGTCAACGTCGCCAGGCTGTTTCCTCTTTCGTCTCTTGTTGTGGCGACTGTAGTACACATCCATCCCATCGACGTAATCGGAATCAACCTCGCTGTTGTCCTCTTCATCGCTGCTACTGCTGAATAACGTCTCCATCGTTTCGTACGACTCGCGCGCTTTGCGTTTCCTAGGTGCTCTTTTCTTCGTTGCTTGCTCGTGTAGAATCTGCAACTCCTTCATCACTCCTTCGAACTTGGTCTCAAGCTCACCGGCAATCCTTTTCCACTCATCCCTGGCACTGTTGGCTAATTGAAGTTCTTCTCGCAGCTTGTGATTTTGTTCCTCGAGTGAACTATTCGAGTTGTAAAGTTCCGATTGGACTGGCCCGTTCGGAATGCCTCGAGTTTGCTGCAGCAGCTGCGACTTCACACCTGCTAGCTGCTGCTTCAATCTCGACACCGAGCTCTCGGCAGCGATTTCCTTGTTAATCACGGCCCGGTTCTCAATATTTCGGGCGCGGAATGCGTATCGTAGTGTAGTTGAGGTCTCCTCGTAGTCAACGTCAGCAGGACTGATGCACGCAATCATCAGCGTCTTGCTGTTTCCACCAAGACTGTCTTGAAGCAGCCGCGTCAGCTTCGAGTCTCGATAGGGAATATGTGCTGTCAGCGGATTTGTAGAGCTACGTTTGCACAACGCATTAATAACATTTCCAAGTGCAAGCAGCCCGCGATTGATGTTTACACCTTCCTTAAACCGCACCCCTGCCGAGTTAGTACGCCGGACACGTTCAGACCCGGCCAAATCCACCAAATGGAGCTTAGAAAACCGCGTCTCTGTGCCCCCTTCCACAGTGCTCACGTCATGTAGCTCCATTTTCAGCGTACAGATAGCATGCGAGCGACTTGACCGAGTATTCATGCTTGTTGAACCCGTAGCCCGCACTTGCGCCCCGGCGCGTAAAATAGCTTCCGCCTGGTCCACTGACTGCACAACGTGCTCACTTAGCCCCGTGACAACGATTCCACGATCCCTATCACCCCGTATAGATAGCCCCGTGTTCGTTAGCGACACCATTCCAGAAGGTGATTTTACAGCCAGATCAATAATTTCTTCATTCAAAATCTACAACGAGAGCACCGTCAGCACAGCGGGACATCGTACCCCCATCACATTACTACCAAGACGAGCTACGCACCTCTAAGTACGAAAGCTTGACCACAATCTGGCGCGAATTTTTCAACTTATCCACACGTTCAAAAATCTGCACACCGATGCACAAAAGTCTAATCAAACAAATCTAACAACACGACAAAAACAAGATAGCTCCAGCGTCTTGCTGTCTTCGTCCCGCCCACGTACATTTTCAATCACACGCGGCACAATGCCACGATCAGTCGACGGTCCATTGGACGCAGACTCATTCCCCATAGTATACCTACATTTATCAAATTAGAAGGTGTCAATAAAAAACACTCACGAACAATGTCAATCACACTCACGTTTTGCCGGACCCTGTCTGTCCGTAAGCAAATACTGTCGCATTGTATCCACTGAAAAACTCGTCGAGTAGCGGCTTGACTAGTGTGCTGTAAACATTTTCCTTTCGTCGTCATGAAATAAATAGCGAATAACGTCACCAGTAGCTCAGTCGACATGATATCAAGTATAAGAGTCGATCGCAAACTAAATAAATGACGCCTCATAAAATACCTGCTCTGCCGTCGTGTCAAAAACGGCGTCAAAATCAAATTGTTTTTCAGCCAATTGAATGCTAGTATCCGTCACGTCCACGCACGCTTTCGAGCCAAGAGTTGCTTCCTTCTCATTCAGTGGGCGCACTCGCACTGCCACCTGTATCGTGTTACGCTGACTTACTCTATCGCTCGTCGATGTCATCTTGGCTACACCAATTGACGCCACTCGCGCCGCTACATGCTGCGTTTTTGACGTCATTAATATTGCGTGAGGTTTTTTCGTCCTACTGATCATCACGGATTGGATGAAAAGATGTACCAAAGTAGCGAATCAGCACTGCGATATCCAACTGGCTTGCATCGCGCGATTAAAACGCTTCGTCAAAAACGGCACAGAGCAAATAACCGCCGGAGTGCCGAGCGGACGTGGGGAAGGCGTGCGAGCATTCGGGTGTGACTTGACCCCGTGAAAATGATGGAATCTGAGTATACGGAGAATGTCACGGAGGAGAAGCCGCTGGTACAGTCGCCGCTCTTGGCTGTTGTATGCGTGCGAGGTGGACAAAATACCCAACGGCCGGTCTAATGATGGTTGTGACGATGCTGTATGGTGGTTCAATGTGTTATTGTAGTTGTCCGAACATGCCGTGGGTATCACGATCTACAAAGAAGAAGAGAAGCAGGAGAAGATGATTGTGCTCAAGGTCAAGACTCTCAGTGAGAAGCCGCTGCGTGTTGAAATCGCGTTGTCAGCTACTGTCGCGGACCTCAAGGAGCTTGTGAAGGAAAAGGCGCACGCAGAAGATAAATTTCTGCGTCTGATTCATCAGGGAAAAATGTTGTCGGACGATGCGGTGACGCTGGCGAGCTGCAAGGTCAAGAACGAAGACTTTGTTCATTGTGCCATGAGCTCGACCCCGTCGAAAGCTGCGGTCCAGCAGGTGTGGAAGTCGTTGCTATCGTTTTGAAGTCGAAGTGTGTTACTTATTGGATAATGTCATGATGTGGAGATGAATGCTAGTGATAGTGATGCTGAAGATCGAGAGGATTCGTCCACAAGAAGAGGCTTTGATCGACTCCGTGACCGTCTCAGTCGAGAAGAGATCCAGGCGCTGCGTCTATATTTCTACCCACAGCTTTCGGTTTACATCAGTCAGGCGGAACGTGTCGATGGTGAGGGCAGTGAGGACCGGATCTTTCGACTGGAAGACGAGTGGATGGCGTCCCAGGGTCCACAGTCTGAGTTTGGTGCGGACGTATGCATTGTCTAGCTGGATCGGTAACAGTTGGCTCACTGAATGGTTCTTTGTATTCTTCCAGCACTAAACGTTGTGCCTACAGCTCGTGCTGCAATGGACGCACAGATCGATATGAACGGAATGAATACCTCTATTCTAGCAGCAGATAATGAAGGCACTGGAACGGAGTTTCTGTGGGGGTTCTTGATGGGTCTCCTGCTCGGCGTATTTATGCTCCTCATGGTACGTTATCGCGTGCCAGTTCTCTGCTCAAAAGCCTGAACTTTCTCGCTGCTAACATGATGTGCGTACGCTCGTGTGCGTTGTCTAGCTCCTCGATCGCTCTGTTCCTCGCAAGCAAAAAGTTGGCCTGCTCCTCGGCGTGAGCATGAATTTCTTTTCTGAGTGTCGTGCCGCGTGCTGTCTCCGACCAATAGACCGGTCGGCTGCCATCAGCTACCAGAGGAGGACGCATCAGTGCTGGCCATGGCTCGTTCGTTTACCTCCCTTGCCCCCAAGCACTTGTTCCCACTTTCGCTCTTCACGTCGTGACTTGCACCTTTTTTATTTTAATCGCTCTGTGTCAAAAAATGAACAGTGTGTGTTGTACACTAGATTCCAGCTCAGCTTTTCCTCCAATCAGACCCGACCAAATAGTAACCGTGGCCTGTGAATGCCGTCGACGTGCTAACCCTAGGATGCTGTCACTTGACGAGCCTCGTTCCTGTGTTGAGCAGAGCCGCAGCAACGGACGAAAGCGCCGTCGATCTGGAGGTGGACCAATGGGAAAGGAGCTCTCGTCGGAACAGAAAGCGATTGTCAAGATGTACGTGACGCGCGGGGCCAATGAGGGCGTCGTCACGTGCTGCTACTGTGACAAGGAGATCTCGTCGCGCAATGTCGATCGCTGGGCATCGCACTTACGGGGATGTCTCAAGACACCGGACGATATCAAGGCCCAGATCCGACCGTCTCGTGGTGTCAGTGAAGCAACAGAAACTACAGGTAACGGTTCCTCAGCGTCCGTGCCCGTGGCGTTGGAACCAACGAAGCTCGAGACGCAGACGCCAAGTGCGGCAGTCGTTCCAGCTCCACCAGCAGAAGTGGTTACCGCCGCGCCAACGAGCGTCTCCATGATCGCTCCAAGTACGCAGTTGTCTTCGGCACTTCAGTCACTAGGCAGCAGCTTTAGTGAAGTGTTCAAGGTGCACGTGTCGAAGGATTATATGAAGTTTAATGCGGCGCACTTTATTGCTTACAAGGTATCGATCCCGCCGTTGTGGATTTGTAGCGGCCAGCAGGAGAAAAGCTGTTCTGACTCGGTGCTTTGTGGATGGTTGGTTGGTGGACATGTGTCCGGATGTAGGGGTTTCGGGAAAAGCTCCATGGACACAACTACCGCTTAGCTGTCACGATCACTGGACAGGTTGGCAAGGATGGCTATGTCGTAGATTTTGGCGAGATCAAGAAGATCTCACGGGTTATCTGCAACGAGTTGAACGAATCATTCCTCGTACCGATGAACAGCGATGCTCTAAAGGTATGAATGGCGCTGGCAATACTGTCGAGTGTTCCGTGGTGCATCACGATGCGTTGTGGGTGGTGATTGCCGCAGATTTCTTTCGATGGCACGAATGTACACATTGTTACGGAGGACATGGCCCAGTTCAGGTGAGCATACCCGCGTGTGTGTAATTGTTGCGATGTGACGGTCGTTAACGTTGTTGCACTGCTGTCTCTAGTTTTCCCAAGTCGGACTGTTCGCTGCTGCCGATCGTGCACTCGTCAGCAGAGGAGCTCGCTATTTACATTGTACGTAGCCCAAATTCAGTTCACTCTGTGGCGTTTTCCGCTTGTTCTTACGCTTACCATCAACCACGGATGTATATAGAGCAATCAGCTAGTGGACGCTTTTACGCTCGTTGCGCTCCTGGTACGGACGTTGTGGTCTGCACGGCACTTGTTGGCTACTAATATGTTGTGTGGACTGCTCGACTACAGGAGCGCGGTGTGAGTAAAATCGAGGTCAGCATCTCGGAGGCCAATCAACAGTTTGCCTCTTATGAGCGCACTATCTTAGCGTAAAGAGGCTTGAAACACAAGGGGAGTCTGTGCAAACATCCAGGGACCATTTCGCGAAGCATAGACGCGTGTTCCGCCATTGTTGCCTTGGTCAATTTTTGAGTCTGCAGACTCTCACCACTCATTGTACTGCTATGTCGTTCACTTCGTGGTACCTGAAACATCTTTCCATTCCCAAATACTCCAGAAAAGCTGAAGCACCCAAGTGGATGGCTACTGGATGACGTGACACGAGCACTGGCTTTGCACCCAAGTCCCGTCGTACATCATTTCGAGAGCAGTAGCCGTGACCAGATAGTGGTCGAAATCAAAAGATCGGGCTGGAATTTATCCAATCACTACAGTCTGCTCACGCCGCTCGCCACCCCGCTTCGTCCGTCGGTAGCCAACCAAAAGCCGTGAGGTGACCTCGCCCCTGTCAAAGTCGATAGCGACCAACCGAACCCACCAAAGTGATGGTCATTTGTCGAAACGACCACGAGTGCGCACTCCGCTCCCTCCTTCCGTTTCCTTTTCCGCAAGAGACCATCATTCTTGAATCATGTACAGCAGCAGCAGCGGTGATCGATACAACGACTCTTCCTCACGTCGGGACCACGGCGGAGGTGGCTACAGCGACGGCTATGGCGGGTCTCGTGGCGGTGGCGGCTACAGTGGAGGTGGCGGTGGCGGCTACAGCGGCGGTGGCGGTGGTTATGGCGGCGGTGGCGGAGGCGGCTACCGAGGCGGCAGTAGCGGCGGCTTTGGAGGTGGCGGCGGTGGCGGTGGCGACCTTGGCTCGAACCTGGACACGCACATCCAGTGGGACATGTCGAAGCTGCCGGTGTTCGAGAAGAACTTTTACTATGAGCATCCGGACGTGACGAAGCGCTCGGAGGATCAGTACGACAGCTGGAAACGCGAGCACCAGATCATTGTGACGGGCAAAGGCGTGCCCAAGTGTGTGCTGTCGTTTGAAGAGGCGTCGTTCCCTGAGTATGTGCTGGAAGAGGTGGTGCGACTCGGGTTTGACAAACCGACGGCGATTCAGTGTCAGGGCTGGCCCATGGCACTCTCTGGACGCGACATGGTGGGCATTTCGGCCACGGGGTCGGGCAAGACGCTGGCCTTCTTGCTGCCAGCAATCGTGCACATTAACGCACAGGTTCGTGCTTGGCAGGAAACTCTGTCTCGAGTTGGTATTTTGTATTGGGGATAGTCGTGGACGCATCTTTTCTAGTGCCAATGTGCTACTGCAAGAAGAGCGTAGGGGCGTTGTTGTGTGTTGATCACGACGATCGTTCACGTGGTGAGCGAGACACACGCGAAGCGCGAGGGTTTGAAACGGTTGTTACGTGGTTGCGGATCATGTAACGTCGAGCACTGCGGGAAGTGCTTATCATAGTGCTGTAAAGCACGCACAATGCAGTCCAGAGGCGCATGTTGACTGGCAGCCGACGGTTTCGAGTATCAGTCAGTCGGTCAACCGGCCGTGGATTCTGGTGGCGTGATCTCTCCTATTGGCGTGATCTCTTCTGTTTGCGAAATCGTGCACACAACGCACGAGTTCAAAGCAGACAAGTCACCGATCTGCTCGACAGATTGTGCTAGCAGCCCGCAGCTGTCTTTTTCTTCTTTTGCCGGCGTCCTAGTGACCATCAATCGGTGCGATTCTTGCATTGGTGCGTTGTGGGTGAAGGCCAGAAGAAAAAGCAGCAGGCGAACCTCAACCCCTCGGCGCTCGCTTGTGTTTGCTTTCTCGTGCAACCCTGCGTGTCTGGTAAGTCTCAGTACCCACTAACACTCGACCTGTTCTATTTGTGTGTGTGTGGTGTTGTGTAGCCTTACTTGCAACCTGGTGACGGTCCGATCGTGCTGATCATCGCCCCAACGCGTGAGCTGGCGGTACAGATTCAAGCAGAATGTAACAAATTCGGTGCGAGCTCCAAGATTAAAAACACGTGCGTGTATGGAGGCGTTCCTAAGGGTGGACAGATTGCTGACCTTCGCCGTGGCGTCGAGATTTGTATTTGCACACCCGGTCGGATGATTGATATGCTGAGCATGGGCAAGACAAACCTGCGCCGCGTGACTTACTTGGTGCTCGATGAAGCTGATCGAATGCTTGACATGGGTTTCGAGCCGCAGTTGCGAAAGATTGTGAGCCAAATCCGTCCTGATCGTCAGACGCTGATGTGGTCGGCGACATGGCCGAAGGAGATTGTGTCATTAGCGAACGACTTTTTGACGGACTTCATTCAGGTGACAGTTGGATCGCTGGAACTGACTGCGAACAAGAAGATTAAGCAGATTGTGGAAGTGATGGACGACCACCAAAAGTACTCTGTGCTGCAGGATCACTTGCGCGATATTTACGAGGGTGGTCGTATCATCATTTTCTGCGAGACGAAGCGCGGGGCAGACGAGTTGAGCCGTAATCTGCGTGACACTCGGTATATCTGCAAGGCAATCCACGGTAACAAATCTCAGGAAGAGCGAGACTATGTGTTGCGTGAGTTCAAGGAAGGCAAGACGCAGATTCTGGTCGCTACGGATGTGGCATCGCGTGGTCTGGACATCAAGGACATTCGCTACGTGGTCAACTTTGACATGCCGAAAAATATCGAGGACTACATCCACCGTATTGGTCGTACTGCACGCGCTGGCAACAAGGGCACGTCCATTTCTTTCTTCACGGCTAGCAATAACAGCCGACTGGCCGCACCGCTGGTCAAGATTATGGAGGAGGCCGGGCAGGAAGTACCCCGTGAGCTGCGCGATCTTGTGGGCCGTGGTGGCTATGGTGGTGGTGGAGGCCGTGGTCGCGGTGGCTATGGTGGTGGGGGTGGCCGCGGTCGCTGGTGATCGCTCCGTGCGTGGCGCGTCCAGTCCGGAGTCACAACAAGCGTTTGCAAACAGTGTAGAGAGCACGGTACCGTTTGCTTTTTCGTAAACTAACTTGCAATGGAGGGTGTCATCACCATTGCGTTCAAAAGGTTGCTATTGATATTTACATGGCATTGTTTCAGCTGCTGCTACACTACTGCGTCAGCATCAGCAGACCTCACAGGTGCGGTCACAACCGCTTCGTCTTGGTCATTCGGAATCAGTCGATCAAAGCACTCGTAATCTACAATTACGCGATCGCGTTCAATGACAGCAAAGTCGTCGAAGCGCATGTCGTACGCAAAGTCATCCCAGAAGTACATCTTGCGTGCGTACACGTTCTCCGAAAAGGTCGTATCGAGCCCCGTGAGCAACGCAATGACCGCGACACGCGATTTGGACAAGTCTTCCATGGAATAAAACTTGTCAAATGGCGAGTTCTCGTTGATGACATGGATCAGTGTCGCTGGTAATTTGATCGACGGCCACTCGGCTGTCACAAGTGGCACGTCGTACATCTGCCGGAGTCCCGTGCGCCGGTTTGTGAGGATCACGCCAATGCGGAAAAAGTTGTCGTGCACTTCTCCGGAATGCCGCGTATTAGCAGCACGGAAAACGAGGCAGCGATGTCCATAAATGGTCGTGATCGTCATGTGGGACGAGAAGTGGATGTGTGCTCTCGGTCGAGCAAACTTGGACCACGCGATGCCAGTAATGATTGTCACAGTGATGATCCCCACCATTGACTCAATGAACACGACAACGTTCATGTAAACCGCGTCGGGCTTCGGTGCAATCGATCCATAACCGATGGTTGCCAGCGTATGGACACTCATGTAGAACGCGAGCTCGTAGTTCGAGACGACCATGTCGCTATAAACTGCAATGTGGTCCATGTCAAACCAGTACAGCAGCCCAAAGGTAAAGTTGATGACCAGGAATGACAGCACAAATACGATGATAATTCGTGGCCACCGCACGTGGAGTGCACTCTGGTAAATCCGCATGAAACTGAAGGACTTGGGGATGTGGACTGGCGAAATACGCAAAAAGCGAGGCGTGTCCTCTACTTCCATCGACACGACAGACATTGTCGTCTGAGGACGCTGGCGCCGCTGAGAAACATCCTCATCAACCTCTCCATGGCCGTCGCGACCGTCAGGGTCGTTTACGGCGGTGAGATCATTTTTCTGCTCCTTTTCTTGCGAGCTGGAGCAAGCGTTACCCCCTGTAGATGCGGGCCCCGCCACTTCTCGTTGGAGCAGATGTCGCGATCGCAGCACATCGGGACTCTCGAAAGACCTATACCCTACTTCGTCATGATGGGCATCCCAACTCCTGTGCCGGACATTGGCATCTACACCATCCACTGTTGCTAGTCGCCCTTCGCTGAGTGTGGCCCGTTCAATCTCCGGATGAAATCGATCGATGTCTCTCCAAACCTGCAAGCCTCCTCTTCGAGCCGCGCGTGTTTCGGCCGACGGAGCTTTTGGAATTCGCTGTGTTCCAAACGGTTGCTGCAACAATGGCTCAAACAATGGCTCAAGCCCCATTGCAGACTTTTTCGGACCGGGCTTCTGCGAAAGCGACACAAAAGGGTGAGGTGAGACTGGCACCTCATTGTCCGTGACCGTCGATTGACTGTCCCCTGATGCTGAACTTGAGCTCGACACGTCATTTGCTGAGCTCTCCGAAAACAAGTCTTGATCGTGAGGAGGAGGCCTACCCTTGTGATAATATGACGCGCAGACTTTCTGCTGTGAACACTGGCACGCTACATCCTTGCCTTCACCTTCGTGGCTGTTGGAGGGACGCATCCTCTCGTTGGATCCAACTGGCTGGAGGTATTGGGCATCGTCGATCGGAGCAGACTCCACAGTGCTCAATCTTGCAAAGTCCATGATAACCTCCGCATTCTGCTCGTTAAACTCGAGCATCTCGGCGAAACGGTATCCCCACACCAGATTTGCAGCAGTGTAGATATTTCGCTCGGACACAGTGTCTTGCAGCGTCGAGTCAACACCAGACATTGCGACCTCCACAAGCATATCGGACTGAGCAATGTCGTTCTTTGACATCCGATACAGCGGACTGCTTTCATCAATCAGGTGTACGACCGCCACACCCATGCGGAAGGTGATGAAATTATTCTGCTGCAGCTTCAGGTTGTACGAGGTCAGCACTTTCGTCGAACAAGCGGGGTCGTCTGCAGCGTTCTCGACGCTTTGTGCGCTCGGAGGTTGCGAAAGTCTTCGCTTCAGCGTAACTTCATTGTCGTGAGCACGCACGTGCTTCGTCTTGTGCTCCACCCGCAGCAAATTCACCTTGAATGCAGCCTCCATGATCACGTCGTGTGTCACGTCTCGCGATTGTGTGGCATTTGCCACTCGGACGACAAGTGCGAGGTACTTTTCACCGTAGGGCTGCACCACGCAGACTTTGCTGAAAGCTACCTTTGCCTGCGGCTTGGCAAATTTGGCAAACACGAGACCCGTGCCAGCCGATACGACCATCATGGACGCAAACGACTCGACAGACATGATCACATTGCCACACGTGTGCGTGGGGTAGACAACACCGAAGCCAATGGTCGTGAACGTCTGGTAGCTCAAGTTGAAAGCTTCGAGAAACCCGGTTGGATCACCACAGATACAGCACGTGACTGCGGCAAAGAAGAAGAGGTTCACCATAAACACAGCAAGTAGCACCATGAGTAGCATTGGCCAGCGCATATTGAGCAGCACATACAAAAAGTCCTTGTACGGCGTTCTCGGGTTCGCATTCGTACTCACGCTTGGAAACAGCGAATTCGAGGGCAGTCGAACGAATTGTTTCCAAAATGGCATGTCTTCAACGCGAGAGCCTGCGTGGAAAATCGACGTGTTGCCCTGGACTCCGTTCTTCACCTTGACGCCGTGCCAAATATGTACCCAATCTTTCAGAGCTGCTGGGACCCGTTGCGTCCCTACATTAAGCGTTCCTCGATTCTGAATCCGCTTTTTCGACGCTGGCATGACGTTGGAAGAAAGAAATAAGCACGGAAGATGGAGACGACTTCTGATCCAAAATAGGTGGAAATGGCTGTATTTGCAGCGACGGAGAAATGCTGATACCAAGACACTGCGAGGAGGAAGACAAGTTCAGGTCTGAACTTTTGCATCATATGTCACACACGCGTGGGATTCCACGCTGTGACTGCTTCTGGGCTGGACTCGAAACAACGACTGCAAAACCCGAAAAGACGGAAACACGAGGTGCGAAGAACGACTGGTTCACACGTGCGTGTCGGCGGTGAAATGGTCCGCGGGACGGGAGCTCACGCATTTGAACTCGGGTGTGACGGAGAAGAAGCAGGAAATGATAATAGGTGCCTCGTACAATGGTGACGGTGAGTGAAAAGCTACTCGATGTCGCCCCGACTCGGTACATGATGCAACTACTGATGCTGATTGCAATCCTGCTCTTCTCGATGATCGCATCGTGGCGAAAAGCTACGGCGTCTGATGTCCCGAACCTGATCGAAAGGAATGAGTTGCGATACAAAAGAACTGACGTCTTCGCTGCCGCTGCCTCAGAGATATTAAGGCGAATGAATGGGACCTGACGCCCTTGCTGCCAATCGTTATGACGCTTGACGTACAGGGCATGGTAACTAATACAGGGCACCTGTCGCTTGCACGTAGTAGACATAGTAGTTCAATGAGGGATCCCGCACACTGGTTTATTCTCAAAAGGTCGCTGGTCGCCCCACGTCGAGCGCCACACTTTGCGTAAAGAAAGACAGCCTCGAGATTGGTCTGCACCTGTTCGATGCAAGCGCGACTGTTCTTCTGGCTGGCGGCCTATCGACCACTTGCATGCGGGTTGACACATTAACACTGACGCAAGCGCTTCACACGCGTGCCTGAGCACAGTTCGCAACAGTCTCGTTCCGGAAACATGTTTGCTTGCGAGCAGAAAGCCTGGGCCGTCACAAGCTCAGCCAAGTAAGTAAGAAGAACACGAAAGCCGTGCCCGTCCTGCGTGTCTTTTCATTTGTTTACCACGCTTGTCGTGTTGTAACTCGAAGAGGAGTCAACGTCACAGCCCAGCACATCCATCCATCCAGACAGTTGACATCATTCACGAAATCGTGGTCGACCTGGACCCAGCAGCCACACTGCAAGCACTTGTCCCGACGCCTGAAAAAAGCTGCTTGGGCACTTCACGGGGCAATGTCGCCATGACGTCTTCCACTCGGTACTCTACTGCGCTCCTCCTGTCCAGTAACTCAAGACCACGCAGAACGCAGGAGGAAGCAACACTGCAACCGTCTTTTTTTTTCCTGGAGAACTAGGCGCCTATTCCATGTTCAGTGGAAAGATCGGGCGGTTACATCGGGAGCTCGTGTCCAAGTTCCTGGTAGCCAACGAAGTTGCTGCTGCTGCCTGGCGTCACCGTCACGTTTGACATGGCCATTCATTTCGCGGGGTGGATCGAAACTGTCGCTCGATCGTGTCGTTCTTTACGACATACCGGCACCATTAGCATCGCACTGGGGGCATTACGACCACCTCGAGAGACTTCTAGTTCCGCCGCACATACTCGCAAGTCTTTCGGAACAGCAAACGACCGGCCCAACAGCTCTCGAAAATGAAACGGCCGACTGACTCGTTCACAGACACACACCCCCGTCCGTCCGTCCCTCTCTGTTTATCTCCCTTGCGCCATGCACGAGCCTCATCGAGCCACAACCACGTGATTGAACTTCCCTCCATGTCTGCGACAACTGCCAATCGTCGTGCGACCGTTCGACGACCGCCTCGCGCCATCGATCCCTCTAACGATCGATGTTTCGGTCGATATGACCGACAACCTGCGAACGCCGAGAGAGAGACAGAGAGAGAGAAAGAGAGTTGCTTCATCCATTCAAAAAGACACTGGAGACAGCCGCAGGTCGACGTGCAGTAAGCAGCCACGACACACGCCCTCACAACCCCTTTTTCGCTTCTCCTCTTCCACTCGCACCCACACTTTCTCCACACTCGACCTCCAAACAGACAACAACTGCAGACAACCCAACCAACCAACCAACCCACAAGTCCGTCAGTCCGATAGACGGACAGATAGACAGACAGACAGACAGACAGACAGACAGGTTGCCAATTCGTTCTTTTGTAAGCAAACCTCCATTCAGCGTCAGGTCAGGTAGGTCCAGGTCCAGGTTGACGTTCGTTCGATCCGACTTTCGTCCCGACTCTCTCGCTTGATGGCGGAACGGTCGCAGCCGCTGGCGCTGGTCCGTGTAACGGAGCTGGAAGTTCCTTTCGACCGGAGCAGCACTCAAAGTACCAATTGCAATCGCAGCACTTGTCGTGAAATGGAGCGTCTCCAGGCCGAACTGGGGCTCGAGATCCAGCCCCAGCGTCTGCATCGTCAGTACACGTTGAACGTGCTGCCAGTGAGCGCTGCAAGTCGAAGCTCCGCGTCTCGAAGCGGCGTCTTGGACGCCATCGCCCCCGATGCGTTGGAGGACGTGCTGAGTCGCTGGGAGGAGAATCAGGTCAAGTGGCGTCATTTCGCTGGTTCAGGGACACCGAAGCAGGAGTTTGGACGGGACCGTGACGAGGACGAGACGGTTCCGATGCTAGAGGATGGCGGCCATTTCTTTGAGAACGTCCGACGACCAGAGACTTTCGACGTGACGTTTGGGGCTGGCGATCTCGGTCTGGAGGTCGGGATTGATGCAGTGAAGAACAAAGTGGTGGTCAAAAGTGTTCAAATGGAGACGTGGATTCAAGCTGCGGTGGCGCCAAGGGCTCCCGGGACAAGGGTGAGGAAAGGCTTGACCGTGGAAGCTGTGAATGGCCAGACTGAGGTGTCGGTGGCAGACGTGCTGGACGAGCTGCAGTTTAGTAAACGACCGATGACTGTGACGTTCCGACGCGCGACGATGGTCGTGTGTAAACTTTGCGAGACCAAAGTCGACGCGAGCAACTTGGACGAACATGTCAATTACTGCGTCTTGTCCAAGCGGGTGGAGCTCGAAGCGGATGTGATTAACGACTCGCTGGTGCAACTCACGGCATCGCTCGATGCGTCGCTCGTGGAAGTTGATGCAGTGGGCAAGCTGGACGAGTTGCATGCGTACCATGCACTGCGCATGGCAGCTGTCCAGACGTCGTCGTGCGACGTGACTAGCGTGGATGCATTTGCACTCTGTGCTCAACTCGTGAAGGTCATCGATCGGATACGACAACAGGAAGAGACGTTGAAGCTTGACGTCAGAGGTGTTGCATATTGTGTCAAGCTGCGCAACTTGATCCACGCCAAGATGAGCAAAATGCGGGCATCGCACAAGATGATGTTTCAGCAAGCTCCGATTGAGATCATGCGGTCGCCGTTGAAGCGAACCAAGTCACTGGAGAGCATTAAAAACCGAAGATGGTTGCGATCTCGAAGACGCTCGAGCTTGAGACCGACTTCTTATCGAGTCTCGATACGTGATTTCCAAATCGTCAAGCCAATCTCAAAGGGGGCGTTCGGCAAAGTATACCTTGCTCGGAAGAAGACGACTGGTGACCAATACGCGATAAAGGTGCTTGCAAAAGAGCACTTGCTTCGCAAGAAACAGGTACAGCGTGTTTATAGATTTATTGCGTGCCCACGAGCGCAGTGCTGACTACTGATCACTTGCTTTTTGTCACGTGGCGCTGCAGATCCAGCAGATTGAGACCGAGCGGAATATTTTGGCTAGTGTGGTGAGCCCGTTCGTTGTGAAGTTGTTCTGGACGTTTCAAACCAAGTAAGTAGCTTGCTTTTGTGTCGATGGGAAGACGCTGTCTTCGAAAAAAGTCAAGCAACGATTAATGTATGCGCTGTGTTTGGATCTTGGCCAGGCGTAATCTGTTTTTGGTGATGGAATACCTCCCCGGTGGTGATTTCATGTCGTTGTTAGAGTGCATTGTACAGCTGGAAGAACAGGTGAGTTCGTGCTTTGCAACTGTGATGCAAGTGACGTCTGTTGTTGACAGTGCTGACGACTGCTTTATTGTTGTTAGGTGGCATGCGTGTATATTGCAGAGATTGCAATCGCGCTTAATCACTTGCATACGAAGGGCTGTGTCCATAGGTTCGAGATGTGTCGAGGTTGATCGTGTACCAACTACTGTTCTCATCCACTGCTTTCGTCTCCCTATTTGTTGGCATTGGTCCATGTTGCACAGAGACTTGAAGCCCGACAATATTCTGCTTTCGTCCACTGGCCACATCAAGGTTAGTTCACGTTTTCATCTTCGCTATGTGGTCGTACCGTCGGTTCCAACTCAATGTTACATGTTACTGGTTTTTCTCTTCCACAGTTAACCGACTTCGGCTTGTCCGAGGACGCTGTAGCGCTTAGTGATATTGACTTAGACCCTGACGATGAATGTGTGGCCGAAGATAGCGAGGTACGGGATAGCAGTGCATCGGAAGTTTCGCCATTCACGCCGGAAGATGGCCGCCCGCGTTGCATCTCAATGTCCAAGCGAAATTTGAAAAAGCAGTCCGCGTATCACACATATGGGCGATGCGGCACTCCAGACTACTTGGCACCGGAGATCATTCTCGGTGCTCCTCATGGTCCCCCTGTGGACTACTGGGCACTAGGCATCATTCTCTACGAAATGATGGTAGGGTTTCCTCCATTCAATGATGACACGGTGGATGCAATTTTCGAAAATATCTTGGAACGGCAAATCCTTTGGCCCGATGGCGAGAAGTGTTTGTCAGCTGAGGCGGTGGATTTGATCGACAAGTTGCTTGATTCGAACCCGGAAACGCGTATGGGCTGGGAGGGAATCAAAGAGCATCCGTTTTTTGAAGGCATTAACTGGGACACGATTTTGGATTCCGTGCCTCCATTCGTGCCGACGCTGGAAGGGCCGACCGATACGAGTTATTTCAATAACCGCAATCTCACGGACATATTCATTGATGATAGCGACTTTGATGTCATTTCTCGCTCGGCATGCAGCAGTCAGAACAATGTCGACTTTGGGCCAGAGTGTGACGATCCGTCGCTGGGTGTACCCGACTCGAAAGCTCACGAGGACTTTCCTCGAAACAACAACGCAAGTGATGTTTCTGCTGCGACAGCAGATGTTGATACCTCGTGGGGGGCCACCGGGACACTGGGTGCACTAGGCTCGATGGGTGCTACAAATAAGGAACACATTGGCCGGGTCTTACAGACGGAAGACAGCAACAACCATTGTCGATTCCCTAGTGGGATGTACGACAGCACCGATGACTCCAAACTCTGCGATGCATTCAGGTCTTTCAGTTTTACCAATATGAACGCGCTTGCTGCAGCATCTCAAGCCGAAGCAGAAATGATGACGGACACTACACAGCCAAACGAAGGCGTCGAGTTCGGTCCATCAATCTTCATCTAGCTACAGTGAAACGGCCTGACTGTGTGCCATTGCCCTCTCCTCGATGTTTTTGAGCTCGCCCGCGTAAGATAAAAGTAATACATTTCGAGAACCGCGTGACGTCAATACCCCAAAGTCTGCAGACAGCACCTGGTTTTCTGCAAACAATCGTCTTGTACTCATTATTACAGGAAAAAGTCATCTTCTTCTTGCTCCGCTTTCTTATCACTCTCCTCCTGTGCTGTCTCTGGAAGCTCATCGTCATCTTCCTGGTCGACAAGAGCCGGCGTGTGTTTCTGCTTTTCTCCAGACTTGTCCCGCTTGCTTCGGGCCTTCTTCTGCTTCTTCACCATTTCCTTCGTCGGGTTCTTCAGCAAGAGGTCAACCGCTGATCTCGTCTCCTTCGAAGCACTTGAGTCTTTCGACTTGCCCTCGTTGAAACAAAACTGGTGGAATGCCTCTCCCGACTCTTCCTCTTCGAAACGAGTAATCGCCTCAGCACGAAGTTCGTCCTGACGCTTTTGTTTCTCCTCAGAGTGAGGAGTTGACGGATACAGTGGAATGTACGACTCGCTTTTCGGGTAGTAGTAGATGTACATCATCTGCTCACGGTACAAGATGAACTGCTTTTCGTACTCCGCTTTTTCTGCTTGATCACGTGCCTGTAACGACAAGCACCACAAAAAGCATAGACTTCGTCACAGCTTTTTTCTCACTGCACTGATGACGATACAGAAATGACTTTGTACCTGCTCGATACACTTTTTCGTCTGACGCAACTTCCGCA